CACTGCCAGTGGGACAATGGATATAAATTTCACCTATCTACTGTGGACTGGTTTCTTCATCCACTCATGGTCCCCTCTCCACCCTCCATCCAGACAAGCAACAGGCATGGTCAGAGAAACACCTGAAGTGCAAATCAGGACTGGTGAGGGTCTGGGAAGAGTTCTGAGGGCCAGGTGGAAAGACTTGGAGGGCCACATTCAGCCTTCAGCAGTGGCTTAGCATGGGCTGGGGCACAGGGGCAGTTGTCCCAGGTGCAAAATGTAAAGGGGCGCAGATATTTCCTTCACATCCCACCCCCCTGTCTCCTGCCTCTGAAACTTTGCTAACAGTTCCGTGCTGGCTCCTCCTACCCAGGTGGCCAATTGATGGCCCTGCCTTTAAGGCTGGAGCACCCAAGCAGACTTGGCTAGGACTGAACTGGCTCACTGCTAGGCCTGGATCCAGTGGGCAGCAGGGCGGGGAAGAAGAGAGGAGCTTCCATGCTTGAAGCTAGAGTGGCTGGCATGCCATGCCCGTTCCTGCCTTGCCACTCTGTGCCTTCAGGGGGCTGGAGGTGATTGTGTGCCAGGTGGCCAAAGGCAAGGGGGCAGGAAGGTGGGCTGCGCTAGCCTGTTCCGCTCAGGGGGGTGACCTTCTCAGGAGCTCTCGGCCAAGGGGCCTTGGCAGGTCCCTAGATGGAGGTGCATGGCAAACCCAGGAGCTGCCTTCAGGGCTGACGGGTGGCCGAAGCTGCCACTACCACCACTTTTTAGGGGGTGCAATATTTGATTTGCCCTGGGCACTTTCAACCCATGCTGCCACTGACCTTCAAGCCTAAGGTTTCCCTCCCCTGACCTACTGTAGGTGGTAGACAATTTGGCAGCTGATTCTGCTTTCTTTCTCCTCCTCCCCTCGGGTTGAATGCTCCTCTGCTGGCATTTGTGCATTCACATAAAATAGTTATAGCTGGCCACATAAAATGGGTGGGGATCCTATGGACTTTGTCCCCACCTTTTCTGCCTGCAGTTTTTAAGCATAATTCCTTACAGCAGGTGTTCTGTTTGCAGACAACCCTGTTGTTCCTTCCATCTTCCTCTTTCGCCAAATACTGTTTCATTTTTAAAAGAAGGTTATTCCCTGACAGAGAGGAGGTGGAGGGGACACAAAGGGTTATACTGAACTAAGCCCTGCTCAGAGTGGACCCAATGAAACCAATTGCCACAGATCAACCCTGCCAGTTATGGGGTGAGTCTGTGAGCTTCTTGGGATACTGGGGAGAGTCCTGGATGAGGTGCAGAAGTGTCATAAAAAGAAGAGGTTACCAATTATGGCATTGATATATGTGTCTTTATTAGTCCTTAGTACCATGCTTTATCAAAGGGATGCAGGTGGCACTGTGGGTTAAACTATAGAGCCAAGGACTTGCCGATCAGAAGGTCAGCGGTTCAAATCCCCGCAACAGGGTGAGCTCCTGTTGCTCAGTCCCTGCTCCTGCCAACCTAGCAGTTCGAAAGCAGGTCAAAAGTGCAAGTAGATAAATAGGTACCGCTCCGGCGGGAAAGTAAACGGCATTTCCGTGCACTGCTCTGGTTCGCCAGAAGCGGCTTAGTCATGCTGGCCACATGACTTGGAAGCTGTACACCAGTTCCCTCGGCCAATAAAGCGAGATGAGCACCGCAACCCCAGAGTCGGTCATGACTGGACGTAATGGTTAGGGGTCCCTTTATCTTTACCTTTTTACCATGCTTTATCACACTTTTTCTGTATTAAATGGTATAGATCCAGGTAGGTAGCCGTGTTGGTCTGACGCAGTCAAAATAAATTTAAAAAATCATGCACTTAAAAGCTTATACCCAGAACAAACTTAGTTGATCTCTAAGGTGCTACTGGACAATTTTTTAATGTACACGATATAGAAATGATCCTTTAAGAATAAACCTACATCCCTTCATTTCAATGGGTCTACTTTGAGTTGGACTTAGCTGGCTACATCCCAAAGTGGATAGGGTTGCCCTCATCCAGATGTACAGCCTGCAATTTCTCTCCCTCCCTCCCTCCTGGGAATCAGACACCCCTTCTCTCAATAAGGCCCTTCTCTCCCCCCCCCCCAAGATGGGGAAAGTCTTGGAGAATTGGAGCAGAAAATGCCACTTCCCCTCCCCTCCCCATCTCCGCCAGCCTCTCCTTTGTCCCAGCAGCCGGACACCCATTGTGTGCTGGGGTGAGGGGGCAGGGGGCTGACCTGTCTACGAGGGGACAATAGCATGCATGCTGGAACTTGAGAGGTCCCCTTTGTTCCTCCCCGCCTCCCACCCCCACGCCCCAGCCCTTCCTCCCATCTCCCCCTCCCCTCCCGGGGCGAAGGGCAGAAGCTTGAGCCACAAAGCAGCGATTGTGGCTGCGTCCCATGAGAGCGAGAGCAGAGAAGACAGGCGGATGCTGGCCTTAAAAGCAGCCTGGGACAAGTCTGCCGCTGGTGGAAAACACCCACACAGCTGGCACACAGTGTCATGAAATCAGACAGGAGAAAGAGGTGCAACCACAGCTGGGGCGCTGGCCCTGTCTCAGCCCAGCCAGCACACACATATTTTTGCTTCCAGCTTAGTGTGTCAATTTTGTTTTCGAAAAGCAGGTTCCAGCCAGCATGCCCAATGGTCAGGGATGAAGGGCATTGCAGGGGGCTGGACTAGATGACTCTCGGGGTCTCTTCTACAATTATGATTCTAGTCACCCCCTTTCCATACGTTATTTCTCTTCTACACAGCTGCTGTAAGTACGGCAGCTGTCCTCTTTCTTTACCTGTTTTGAGAGTGTTCAAGAGCATTGGTACCTTTCCATAAGCCTTACAACAATCTCAGAAGGTTGACCAGAGTCCCCTTCCATGCCGGTGGCTGAGAGAAAAGCATTTGGACCCAAGACTGCTCAATGCAGGGCTGCTGAGCCTCCCCCCCCCCAGCCAGAGGGCTGGCCAGAAGTTGGATGGCCATCTGTCATAGATGCTTTAGTTGAGATTCCTTGCATTGCAGGGGGTTGGTCTAGATGAATCTCTGGGTCCCTTCCAACTCTACAATGCTATAAGCCAGGAAATGGGGTGCAGGTATTGAGGGCCACAGCAGTAGCAGAGCACTTGTTTTGCAACCAAGGCTGCCCGTTTCCAGACACGGCCTGGAGAGTCTTGTCTGAAACCCAGGAGAGATTTTACAGTTCGGTGCAGCCAATGCTGGATCAATACGGACCAGTTGTCTTGAGTTGGCATAAACCGGTTTCCTATGTATTTGCAAACCACCACCCCCAGGCACCCACTTATGGACCTCTTCAGCTCCATTAAAGGGTGAAGCTGCCTGACCCAGCTTCGCCCCCCCCCCCTAACAAGAGTTTTCCTGTGGCAAAAGCTTCTGGTGAGCAATGTGAATTTGCTGGCCCCTGGTGGTCACAGTCCAAACTCCCTTCACTGAGAGATCCAGGACTTCTGACAACCGCAGGTACCAGCATCTGCTAGCTAGTCAATTCCTGGTTTCTATCAGACATTTCAAAACGCTTTAGCAGCATGTTTGCATTCACAACAAACCTGAAGGTGTTTGTCATGAGGAGTGGCAGCTGCCTGGGGCTATGGCAAAGGTGGAACTTGGGGGAGAGACCAGAGCGCCTATTTGCTGCACAAGACTGAGAGCATTGCAAAGCTTGGACAACAGACCAGTAGAGAAAGGGCAATATCGTTGTCACGGCCTACCTCCCAGGGCTGTTGTGAGGATAAAATGGAGCGAGGAAGAATCACGCAGGCCACCTTGAACTCCTTGGAGGAAAGGTGGGGTATAAATGTACGAAATAATAAAAGAAAATTCCACTTTCTTGTTTTCAAACAGCTCTAAGTTAAGCTCACCTTCCCCCTCGTACAATCACAAAAAGAAAGGAGTGTTCCTGGCACTGAACGTTACCTCAAATCCCCTTATATGCACCCGAACCCTTAAAGAGACTCACCTTACGTGGGATGTGAATGTGTCCGAGATGGGAAAAGGAGGAAACGACAGCAACAGCAGACACGCAGAGGGTCTTGATAAAAGGTATTAAACCAGGGTTCCCCAACGTGGTGCCTGTGAGCACCCCAGCACCTAACATCCCCAGCCCTTGGCACATGCCAAGGCCCCCAACCCCTTTATTTTATTTCATAAAATAAATATTGCAGCTTGGTATTTTTTTTAAAAAACCCTCAAAAGTGGTTTACAAAAAAACCCGTTTAAAATTCTTGTTTCTCATTTCTACTTTGGGGGGCTACGGGGTTGCCTGGTTTTTTGTGGTGGTGGGGAGGCTGCCAGATTTTTCAGTCTGTTTTCTCTGTGTGTGTTTTTGGGGGGGCACATTTGCCTGCTCTTGGGGAGGCCCCCGAGTATCAGCAGTGAGGTGGGTATTTTGTGTCCAAGGCAGTTTTAAGATTACCAAATGAGATCCCCTGAAATCAAGCAGAAGCTCACAAGCAGCCAGGCAGAGAATTGGGTTGTGTGCGCGCGCACACACACACACACACACACCCAGAGCAGGAGAAGGGACTACTATGAGCAGGAATGCACAAATCCAGTTATGGAAGCAGCTTGACACAGCATTAGAATAAGAGCAGCAGTACAAGAGCTCACCCATACTCGTGCATTTTACCTTCCATGCTTTAACTGAGTGGAGGGGCAGGGGGAGGTTGGTGGCAGCCCTGGAAAGAGACAGCTTAAAGCTGGCAGGGTAGCTGAGTGCAAGGAATAAAGTGGCGGAGAGTGTGGCTCACCTGAATGGTGAGTCTGGAACAGGGGACTGGGGGCAAGGGATTGTCTTTCCGGAGGTATGAATTTGCAAATAAACAATTGACCTCCTGTTTCAAAGCACTGAGGGGCGGGGGGCCACAGACATGGAGCATACACATACACACCCTGCAAATTTCATGCTGAAGTTTACTTTCCTACCCACGGGACCTTGCAAAGGAAGACGCCCAAATCGCCAGAAATCATTCCACCCTCCTCCACCTAAGTAAACAAAGACCTCCAGAGAGCAACTCTGACTTTATTTACAAAATATTCCACATCTTTATCCAGACGGAAGACACGAGAACAACACGAGAGCCAGTGGGTGCAAAGGAGAAATGGAAGCGGGAGGGAGGGAGGGGATTAAAAATGAACGACAAACAGGAACCGCCGAGACATTTCGGAGCTGGGCTAGAACTTGAATTCTTTGTACTTCTTGGCTCCTGCCCTGGTGTCCTGGGGCTGTGCTTTCCGCTTCTTTTGCTGGAGGAGCAGAGAGGGCAGTCACAACATGCTGATAATGCCGGAGAATTTGATTCCACCCCACCCCCCACCAAAAAAAACACCCCATGTGAAAAGGCATATATGCATGCCTGCACACACCCCTCCCCACCCGCTATGCAACTGCATCACCTCTCCCAAACTGCTGTGTGACCTCCACCCACCGCCCCCACTTTCTTCCCTTAGGGCCCTGTAATCTCTTTTCCCCTCCTCTGCCTTTCCTTGGCTTCTTGCTACAAGTTTCTGACGGGGCCTGATGCTTTCGCTGTCCCCCTTCCATCCGCAACACCTGACACACAGACAGGCTTTCTTGGCCCCACCTCCCTGCCAGCAACCCAGCCTCTGTCCCATCCCTGAACCCCATTTGAATTCCTCTCCCCAAAGCCAGCCACAGCCCTTTCACCTCCCTCACAGCAGCCCCATTTTGTCATTCTAGGACAGGGTTTCCCAAACTTGGGTTTTCTGCTGTTTCAGGAATACAACTCCCATCATCCCTATTGGTCATGGATGATGGGAACTGTAGTCCAAAAACAGCTGGAAACCCAAGTTTGGGAAACCCTGTTCTAGGACATCCCATGAGAGGGATAATAGGGAACCTGCTTGGCATGCAGAAGGGCTTGGGGTCAAACCCCAGCATCTCCTGCTTAAGATCAGATAGCGGGTGCCGGAAAAGGCCCTTCTCTCCCGCAGAGCCACTTCCAGAGTACACAGTGCTGGAGAGAGGCAGGCAAAGGGTTTGGCCTTTGGGAGCTCTCCATGGCTTGGCCAACTGTCCAGGCTGGCAAGTTCCCTCACCTTCTGCTTGGCAGCATGCTCAGCCACCATGTCGCTGAAGTCCTCCTTTTCCACCTGGGCTTGCTGCTCCCGCACGTGCTCCTCGTACTTCTGCGTCATGGCCATGGGGTCCAGCTCCAGCTCCTCAGGGGCCAAGGCCACCTCCACGCCCTGGATCTCTGGCCCAGGACCTTTGCGGCTCATCACCTGCAAGCAAACGCAGGGGAGGGAGGGAGGGAGGAGGCAGCCAACAGTGGATACTGGTGTAAGGTGTTTGCAGGGTGGGTGGGTCACTATCTCTCGCCTCCCAAACCACATGCAAACACAGAGGGGTGTTGAAGGCAGCCCACCTCTCAGCTGCGGAAGCAGAACATTGCCTGCAAAAGCCTTGCTTTGGAATAAGACCATCCGCAGAGCTGCATCCGCAGGAAGGCGGGCAAGCCAACACAGGGGGCTCCCCAACTGAGGGTATCACTCAGGAGCAACTGCCCGACTCCTGTTCACACATGCTTTATGGACAAGCACTTGTTTGTCTCTCTTCGCACACACGCCATGTTGTGTGTGTGCATCCATACATCTCTCTCACTGAAGTCCCACTTTTCCACCTGCGACTCTGGTATCCAAGTAATTTCTGCTTCACAAGAGACCCGCTGAAATTAATGGACCTAAGTTGCCATCCATGTCAATGGGTCTACTCTGAAAGTAACTGTGTGTGTGTCTTATGTGCAGAGAACCAAGCTCCACCAATGCAACGTTGTCCCTACGAACAATTCTTGAGGAGGTGGTCTGATCTCCCACTTCCTTTGATTTAACTCTTTTCAAGCAAGGGGGAACAGGAATTAAAACATTTGAAGCAAGGGTCCTTTAAGCTTAAAGTGACACATGTCTGTAAGGACCTACAGGGCAGTAATTTTAATTATTATTTTTGTTCTCTTGCCCCTGCAGAGTGACGCAGTGGTCAAACTTTGCTCCAGGACAGTTGCTAACTTTCCTTTTCTCCATCCCCAGTCTAGTATATCTGAAGCAGAAGCCAGGTGGCTGCCCCTCCAAGCCTGCTCTGCTCACCTATGCCTAAAACTGAGTTTGCTTGCTTTAAGAACACATACACTGCACACCTTGTTCCAAAAATGGGTTTCAGGGCAGCGTACGTACAAAATGAAAACCCACAAGGCAGCATTTGAAAGCATAAATCAATGGAACAAAAATAAAAAAATAAGGGGGGGGGATGCAGCAGGCCAAGATGCCTGCGCATATTTTTAAAAAGTTTTTAACCATGAAGTCTACAGTGCTGGCTCCAGGTGTCCCTCAACTAAGAGAGCATTGCAGGGTTGAGGGGCCACCACAGAGTAGGCACTCTCTCTTGAACATTCAGAGGGTTCCTCTCCTACAGGGAGAATGCACAGAAGGGTCTTGATGATCAACCTCTGATGTTTGAGGTAGTGTGCCTCCAGATACTGGGAATCACAATGGAGGGAGACTGTTGCTGCATTCAGGTCCTGTGTTTAGGCTTGCAGGTGGCATCAGGCTGGCTACTGCAAGAACAGGACGGAGGACTAGATGAGCCTTTGGCCAGATCCTGCTGCCAGGCCCTTCCTACATTCTTAAAACACATGAGGTTGATACGGAAGGTGCTCCTTCAGCTATTTGGGCCCCAAACATCCTGCAGAAGGCAGAACTTAAAGCCAGCCTCTTCTTACCGTCGCCATGTCATAGATGTGAGTGGAGCCCATCATGGCCCCGCCGACTGTCGCAGTCCTCTTCTCTGGCAGAACGGTGAAGAGCTGGGGCGTCTCGCTGCTATTGAGGAGAACATGAGGGAGAGAAGAAACGCTCAGCATCATGGGAAAGGGCAGAGAGAAGGTGGATGGGCGCAGATTAGCCAGGAAGAATCTTACCACACGTGGTGGAGACAAAGCTCTGGGCCAGTGCTAACAGGTTCTTCCACAAGGGAGGGGAACCTTTGGCTTGTGGGCCAATCGTGGCCTTCCAGGCTCCCCTGTTTGACCCATGATTTGAGCAAGCCACGCCCACCTGCTCCCAAAGCACCCAACAACCCCCGGGAGGAGGCTGAGGAAAGAAGAAGCCAACACTTACCCATCCATGGCCTCCTCGATCTTCTTCTTACGCAGTTCAATGAGTTCAGGCGTCTCCATGCCAGCGGGGACCGAGGAGAAGCCCCCAGGCGTGATCAGACCACTGGAGAAAGATCAGAAGGGGTGGTCAAAGGCCAAGCCAAATTCGACCAGCCGTCCCCCTCCCATGAATGAACAAGCGATGGTCTCAAAACAACTCTAGTCCCAGAGATCCACTCTGTCTCTGCAGGGGTGTCTGTGTGTCCTGGGCAAGACGGGCCCAGCTCCTCCTCCCCTAATGCCCATTTGCTTGTCCTTGGCCTCTGCCCGAGTCAACCTTCCATAAATAACCCTGGTGGCCTCCATAAGCCTTGGACTACAGCTCCCAATAACCCCAACCAGCGTGGCTTAGAGAAAAATGCAAGCAAAGTGGGGGAATGTGGCGCCACTTCCTCATCACCAGCGACAGAACCAGGGGGCGCTGGGCTGGTTGGGGGAGCAGTGGACCCTCTTGGCAGGGACATGGGTGCCTGGCAGGTGCCCAGCAATGGCAGACACTGATACTTGCTCAGCAAAAGCATGGCAAGAGGGAGCGTCAGGCACTTAAAATCAGAGATCTGTAGAGCCGGAAGGGACCCAGAATCACAGCTACTTGCCTGTCTGCTGGAGTGATGAAACCCGTCTCATCCGGTTTCTCTTCATCACTCTCCTCGTCTTCTTCCTCCTCAGAGGATTCTTCATCGGAGGGCTCCAGTTCTCCCCACGGTGTCCGGTCGATCTCTTCCTCCTCTGTCTTGGTCTAATGGCGAGGGAGAGAAAACGTGATCCCGTCACTTCCCAGGCCAGTAGATCCAAACACAACACAGAGTAAGGGCTCTGGACAAGCGGTCAAACCCCACAGGCGGCGACCCTGGCCGCCAAGCAAGTGAGGCTCCCGGGGCCTACCTGGAATTCAGCCGCGTTGGTCCCAAAGACATCTCCGTAGAGGGGCTTCCCAGTCTCATCCACTGGGGGCTTGCCCCAGCCCCCAGCGTGGTACCCGAATGAGCATCCCTGGAGAAAAAAGGAGCGGGGGGGAGCCAGTCATTCAGCAGTGGACAGGAGGAGCTGGGAAGCGTTCTGTGGGCTCCGCCCCCCCATCCCAAAGCTCGTGCGGTGTTACTTTGTGGTGTGAGGGACTTCCAAGCCCCAGCTTGGGTAGCTCAGTTGGTCAGAGCGTGGTGCTGATAATGCCAATGTTGCAGGTTTGATCCCTGTAAGGGATAGCTGCATATTGTTGCATTGAAGGGGGTTGGACTAGGCCAGGGTTTCTAGATGTTTTTGGACTACAACTCCCATCATCCTTAGCTAGCAGGACCAGTGGTCAGGGATGATGGGAATTGTAGTCTAAGAACAGCTGGAAACCCAAGTTTGGGAAACCCGGGACTAGGTGATCCTCAGGACCCCTTCCAACTATGATCCCTCATCAATACTCGCATACCATTTGGTGCCATTTGGCCATCTGTTTTCTAGCAAGTGAGAAAAAGCCAAGGTGGCAAGGAAGGGAATGACTCTGCTCACCTCTGGGATCGGGGAATTCAAGCCCGGAATCTTCAGGTTGGGATAGGAGGGGGGCGGACCGTAGCGCTGCATGGCAATCAGCCAGGGAGGAGGGACTTTGTGTGCGTTCTTGTTGGCGGCGGGGAAGAAAAAAGACATTCATCAGTCACAGAAGCCTCTCCGCTTGCATTACCCCAACCCCCCAGCTCCCCTTCCCCGCTATTTCATGCACTCTGCTTTCCATTCTCACAGCCCTCCCCCTCCTCCCGCGGGGTTGCATTCAATGCTAGTCCTACTCAGAGAAGACCCCGGCTTCATCAATTTCAATCGGCCTATTCTGGGAAGGAAACAATCCACAATCTCCTACCCAAATACACTGCCCCAAATTTTATTACCTGCCAACAAAACGAAACCAGGAGATAAGCTCCTGCGGGGGTGGGGTGTCTGAACATTTAGGAAGTAAGTAACACACTCAGTTCTGATAGTTATACTCAGAGGAGGCCCACTGAAATTAATGTGCATGAGTAACTTACTGGGTTTATTAATGCTAGTAGGTCTAGCACTATTATTATTATTATTATTATTATTATTATTATTATTATTATTATTATTATTATTATTATTTTACCCCGCCCATCTGGCTGGGTTTCCCCAGCCACTCTGGGTGGCTTACAGAATATATAAAACATAACAAAGCAACAAACATCAAAAACATCCCTATACAGGGCTGCCTTCAGATGCCTTCTGAAAGTTGTATAGTTCTTTATCTCCTTGACATCTGAAGGGAGGGTGTTCCACAGGGCAGGTGCCAATACCGAGAAGGCCCTCTTCCTGGTTCCCTGTAACTTCCCTTCTCGCAGTGAGGGAACCAACAAAAGACCCTCGGAGCTGGATCTCAGTGTCTGGGCTAAGTGATGGGGGTGGAGATGCTCCTTCAGGTATACTGGGCCAAGGCCGTTTAGGGTTTTAAAGTTGGGTGCAACCAGCTTAATTTACGCTTCCTGAAAATAGCTTCACTCCTGAATTTGCTAAAATGGGGATCTGGAGGATGTAGGTGCCTCGGAAACCTGGTGAGCCGGCAGCCCACATTCTGCCCACCTTTCCTCCAATTCCGCCTTCCATGAGAGCCTATCCTCATGTCAGCCCTGGTGGCTGGGAGGGCCACTGGGCTTAGCCTTCTGCCACTCACCGGCCCAACGGGCATGCCCAGCGCAATGCGCAACTCGTCGGACAGGTCCCCAGGCTTCTTCTCCTTCAGCCGCGTCTCAAACTCCTTACCCTGGCAGGGAAGAGGAGATGAAATCAGAAAGGGGTTGGGTCCTCCAAATGGCTTCCCTCCCTCCCTCCCTCCTACCCACCCAACCCTTTCCAGAGGGAAGACTTGTCCAGACAACATGGCGCCCCAGGGGGACTGGTGTTTGTTGGGGCTGGAGAGGTGGAAAACAGGGAAGCCAGGAGGGGGTGGTGTCAAACCAACTCAAGCCTTGTCCTTATCCTCCATCCCTGCAGAGTTCTACCAGGGCAGCGCTGCGATGCAGGAGCAGGGCAAGGCTGACAGCTGGTACCACCCGCTGAGCTGGCTCTAACTAAGGAGACAGGCAGGTGGGGGCTGGCAGAGGTCGGAGGGGCAGTGTCCCATTCGCCCTCATGGGCCTGCCTCCACCGAGGGCTCCTCTGCTACCTCGTAATACAGGTCGCCATGGATGGTCAGCTTGGGTTTGGTCTGCCACTTGAAGAAGGCGTCGTGCAGCTTCTGGTAATCGATATCGATTTTGCCCATCTTGGGACGAACTTTCTCCCTCATCTTGGACTTCATGGTCTTCTGCTCCTCCTAGGAGGTGGTGGAACAGGAAAGAAGTAGGTTACAAAACGGAGGCCTACATGTACCCTGTCTTTGCCAGGATGTATGAAATTTGGCCAAGGGTCGCAGGTCGCCCAAAGACTACAGGGTAATGCCAGGTTTAACCATCTCCCTGAAACTGCTGGGAAATCTGGTTAGCACCAAGTTCAAAGTGTGCAGGCCACAATTCCAGGGAGATGTAGGCTTCAGCTTCCTAAGGATCTCACAGTGGTAGCCAATGTTTGTCGTATTCAAAACAGACTCACTGAAAGCAACCAACACGACCAATGGAGGCTGATTAATCTCAGTGGCTCTGCTTTAAGTAAAATTTCATTGGATACAACCCTCAGCTGCCGCCCAATGGCAGAGGCAACTAAAAGGGGCAGACAAGGATCCAGTTCACTGGCCAGATCTAGTTCCCCACTGTTAAGAGTACAGTGGTACCTTGGTTTACAAACTTAATCCATTCCAGAAGTCCGTTCTTAAAACAAGGCGTGCTGCTTTCCCATAGCAGCGGGGCACTCAATTTACAAATGGGACACACTCAACAGGAAGCGAAACATTATTCCAAGGCAAAGTTGACAAACCAAAACACCTACTTCCAGGTTTGCAGCGTTCATAATCCAAGCTGTTCCGATGGCAGCTGGCTAGGTCAGGAGAGTGGCTCATGTGTGGCCCAGAGAGCTCTGTTCTGCAACTCCTTGCCCGAGGCAGCTACCCCCTCTGCCTAACAGTTGGGCTGGTCTTGTCCACACGCAGATGGTGCAAAAGCGAAGGGCAGTCTAAGCAACTCCTGCCCTCCCCCCGCCCACAGCAAGCACTTGACACTCCTGTGAATTTCAGGGCCCTGCCTATGTTTTTGGAGGGGAGGGGGACACAGACTGACCTTTTCCTGCAGAGCCTCTCTCATCTCCTGGATGCCCGTGCGCTTGATGAACTCGGGGAGCTCAAAGGGCGGCTTCTCGATGCCCCTCTTGCCTTGCAGATATTTGCGTTTGAAGCACCAGTGCCGGGGGACAGGGACAGAGTTGCGTGTGGCCTTCAGGTGGACGAGCAGCTTGGGGTCCTGGGCTGTCACGTCGTGCATCTCCACCACGTCAGGACGGGCCACGAGCTGCGGGGAGGACAGGGCTGAAATGGGGCCAACTCTTCCTGCCCTGTCAAAGCGAACCCTTCCTATCTCGCCATGCAAGTTGCGCTTCTCACTCCCAACTCCACATGAGCACATGGTGTTAATCCTGCAGGAGAGGCAAGGCTGCACCTTGAGCCACAGCAGCCTCTCTAGATCCACAAATCACAGCCAGTTAGGAGTAGTGACGTTAAATTCGCGAGAATAATCTTTTGCAGAATATTCTCGATTAATGAGAATATTAGAGAATTTTCATTTAAAATAGGAGAATATTCATTTAATGCATTGACAATGATATAATAATTCAATATACATGTTTATTCATGGGTAAACTTGTTCAAATGGCAACCAAAAACTGTACAGATACTTTTATTCAATGGGGCAATGCAGTGAGTTCACATTCTTTGATTTTTTGCACCAAACTTGAAACTGAATATTCAACGTGAATGACTCACGTTAATCACTAAGCCTGCAACTAACCGTATATTTACCATCAACTTTGAATTCTAATTATGTCGTGTATGTATGAAATGTAGCATTTAAAGTAAAAGGAATAAAAAAAAACAAACCTCAGGTCCGCTACATGAGTGCGTTCTTTAAATGTGGGTTGTAAAACTGGTTCTTACATTAGAATTTAGTTTGTGGAGAATATTCTCCGGAGAATTTTCTCGAGAATATACTCCGGAGAATGTTCTCACCTCACCTCACCAGTCAGGAGACCCTTCACGTGTCACACACCATAGCTCCCGGAAGAGTTACATCTCTGTTTTGGGCCAGCTCTCAAATGCATCAGCAATAGGCAGAAATTGGGGGGCGGGCAGGAGGAAGGTGGAAGAACCAATGAGGGGACAGCCTCCTGGGATGGAAAGGCAGACTTCCAAATCCTTTTAAAGAGGGAATCAACTGTACCAGTGTCCCTCCCCCTGTTACCCTCCAAACAGACATGCACGTGCACACCACACACCAACAATCATACCTGTTTGAGCTCAGCCACCGTAAAGCGATTCATCCGCCGAAGCTTCTTCTTGGACAGTTTGGGAGCCTCTGGCTTCTTCTCCTGCACACAGTAGGGAGGGGGCAGTCCGTCATTTCCTCTTATTGTTAACTTGCACTTTATTTCAAGTACTGTGACTTCCACAGCACTCCCCCCCAACCCCCACCGTCCGCCTTGCAGACTCCCAAAAGCTCAAAAGGAAGGAGGAGCTGCGTGAAGGAAGGATTCCCCCCCCCCGGGAACCTGACAGTCAGAGGCAGACTGCCTCTGAACTTGGAGGTTTCACTCTTCAGTAATTAAGGGACACCTGTCCATTTGCATCACGGGGTCTGGCAAGCAGTTCTTAGGAACCGAGGGTCCCAGGCAGGTGAGGAGAGAGAATTTCTGCCCACCCTGAGATGCACTCACCTGCTCATCATCTGAGCTGTCGTCACTGTCTTTCCTCTCTTCCTCAAAGCCCTTCTTCTTGGGGAGAGCTGAACTGGCCACCTTGTCTGCTTTCTCTGGTTCCTTCTCTTTGTCCTTTTTAACATCATCGGTCAGCTGTGGCAAGGGAAGAGCAAAAGGTGAGGCAGGGACTCCCCGTTCCTCCTTCTTAGAACTAAGCACACACACAGGGAATTTCCCCATAAAAAAGCAATTTCAATTTGTTACAGTCATATCCCATATACAGTGGTACCTCCGGTTGTGGATGGGATCCGTTCCGGAGGTCCAGCCGGATCCCAAGGTTTTCACAACTGGAGAGACCACTTCTGCGCACACACACGTGGCGGTAGAGTGCTTTTGCGCATGCGGCAAACCCCCGAAAAATACTTCCGGGTTTGCCGCTTACGCATTCCAAAGTTTTCGTAGCCAGAGGGATACATAAGCAGAGGTACCACTGTAAATGCAGGGGACGAGATCAGGAAATCCCAGGCCCTCCTCATACCTTGAATGCCTCAAAGATCCTCTTGAAGAAAATGAAGTTGGGGTCATAGATCTCTGGCTCCTCTGTGACATACTCAATTTCCACTGGGCCATCGCCCCCAGACTCCTCCCCACGCCCCTTGGCATCCTGGGAAGGTGGGCTCTCTTTCGGGGACGTTCCCTGCTGCTGCTGCTGCTGCTGTTTCTTCTTCTTCTTCCGGTTTCGCCGCTTGCGGTTTTTCTGTCAAGCAGACCAAATGCGCTTACTTAGATTTAACAAGATTTACATACTACTAAGCTGCTTAAAATAAGATACTAGTAAGAACCCACAAATAAAATAATTAGACTTAAAACAACCCAAATATACATAATAAAATTGTACGTCTGGGTAGGCTTGTCTAAACAAAAATGATTTTAGCAGGCGTCAATAATGGTACAACACTAATATCAATAAGCAGGGAGTTCCAGACAGTAAGTGTTGCCACACTATATTGGCATACTGCAGCAACTTTAATGTTTTGTTTTTTAACTTTCAGGATCAATTAGCCTCCTGAGGCCATTTAGAAGAAGTCAAACAAAAGTAAAATCACAAATTATTAATACTCAAGAAAGCATTAAAGCAGCAGCAGATAAAACAGCACCATAATGGAATCAAAAAGGTCTTGTGAGGCTCTCCTAAAGGCCAACAAGGAGGGTGTCAAATGCATTTCCCTTGGGGCAGACATCCCAAAGTTACGGGGCCAACACAGGACACATTTCCTCTGATAGGGCAACATCACTGCCTCCAAGGCAGCCCAGTTCTTAGGAACCGGCTCTTTCTACCACCTGGGGGGAAACATCCTCTGCTCATGCTCTAAAGCAGCGGTTCTCAACCTGTGGGTCCCCAGATGTTGTTGGACTGCAACTCCCATTATCCCTGAGCTCTGGCCTTGCTAGCTAGGGGTGATGGGAGTTGTAGTTCAACAACATCTGGGGATCCACAGGTTGAGAAAGGCTGCTCTAAAGTCTCACTTGACTGACCCTTTCCCCACCCCCTTTTTATACAGCTGCCAGAACACACCACCCATCGGTAAGCTTCTGCTTGCCTTAATAGGCCAGGACAGCTCAGCTTTGCAGAGGAGCCGAAGGCTTACAGAAAACGGAGGCTGCCACTGGCTGCAGTTCAGGGGTGGCCAACTTGCCCTGACCACTGGTCGTGTTAGCCAGAGCTGGCGGGAGTAGTTCAGAGGTGGCGAATCTGTGGCTCTCTACATTAGTGGTTCTTTAGCCTTTTGAGACTCCTTTCAGAATCTGATGAAAGCTATGGATCTCCCCCACCCCACAGAAAAATGCACATGAACACACACATACACAAAAGTTTGCATATGACATATTGCATTTGGGGGGGATTGTGCATGTGTGTGCCCCATTCACAGGCCCCCAGAGTTTTAAGACCCCTGCCTCCTCACCTCTTTCTTCGACAGAGCCAAAGCATCCTCTTCAGCATCTGAAGCGGAGATACCAGCCAACACCCTCAGGTCAGTCTCCATGTCATCATCTATGGGAAAAGAACAAATGTGAGGGAATGAGTAGCAGATACAGGAAGCCTGGCCTAATCATCTCTGCAGAAACCTTGCATGCTGACCCCTCAGTCAGCCATGATCTGCCACAATCTGCTCTTCGGCTGCCTTTACTGCCATTCCGTAAAGTGCAGAAAGAAGGCACAGAATGTGATGTGGGTCTCAGAACCCAGCTTGAGAGGGCCCAGAGCATGTGAGTCACAAGTTCAGTGGCCGGCTCCTACAGAGCGCTTGGCCTCCTCTAGTTGATGTGACATCACACATGCATGACGTGCTTCGGGACCCCTCAGTCTTGGGGCAACCTGACACCTCTGGTTAGAACTAAAATTTCAACTCCTATATTGGTCATGTGACTGCATGGAACACACACAAGTTCACCTAGAGCAGGGCTAGAGAACCTCAGACCCAGGGGTTAAATGCAGCCCTCCAGACCTCTCTGCCGGGCCCTTGGGGCTCTCCATGGGCCACACCCACAACTGGCCTTGCTCCACACCCTCCTTGAGTGTTTCTGCTTGGCTGGAATGTGTCCTTGAACTCTGATAATGCTTCACATTTGCCTAAATGAAGGATCATAGAGTGGGATTTGTGAGTGCTTGCAGAAACCAGTCTACTGCGGGAAGTTAAAATTCACATTAGTTGTTCTGCCCCTTTTTGCCTCTGGCCCTGCCCACCACTGGCATGTGCCCCCGCCCCAGAAGGTTACCCAGGAGAGAATGCAACCCTTGGGCTGAAAAAGGTTCCACAGCCCTGACTGTGTGTCTCAATTTCAACTTTAACCTTTGCCTCAGGTGACCCAGTACCTGTAGCGCTTGGCACAGCTGTGAGCTCCTCCTGGCGAATCTCCTTCAGCTGGAGGATCTTCTCCAGGGCTTGAGGGATTTTGGGACCCACGCCGGACTCATCAACCTGGAAGGCGAAACAAAGTTTCTTAGACAAAAGTGGCCTCATTCTGTTTCCAAATCCAGATCTTTCAGCTTTTGTCTAATCCTGAGTTTGTTTTCATTCAAGCTGCGTCTCTCAAGAACACAGGCTGCACCAGGCAGCACACTCCCAGCACCGCCCATATCTGACTGCTTGAACCTTCCTCCCATCTGAAGCCAACCTAGGGCAAGAATGCCTATTCCCCAACTCACAACCTCCCACAAGATAGCCACCAACTTTGTTGTTGTTTAGTCGTGTCCGACTCTTTGTGACCCCATGGACCAGGCACTCCTGTCTTCCATTGCCTCCCGCAGTTTGGTCAAACTCATTTTAGTAGCTTCGAGAACACTGTCCAACCATCTCGTCCTCTGCCATCCCCTTCTCTTTGTGCCCTCCATCTTTCCCAACATCAGGGTCTTTTCCAGGGAGTCTTCTCTTCTCATGAGGTTGCCAAAGTTTCAGGATCTGTCCTTCCAGGGAGCACTCAGGGCTGATTTCCTTCAGAATGCATAGGTTTGATCTTCTTGCAATCCATGGGACTCTCAAGAGTCTCCTCCAGCACCATAATTCAAAAGCATCAATTCTTCGGTGATCAGCCTTCTTTATGGTCCAGCTCTCACTTCCATACATCACTACTGGGAAAACCATAGCTTTAACTATACGGACCTTTGTCGGCAAGGAGATGTCTCTGCTTTTTAAGATGCTGTCTAGGTTTGTCATTGCTTTCCTCCCAAGAAGCAGGCATCTTTTAATTTCGTGGCTGCTGTCACCATCTGCAGTGATCATGGAGCCCAAGAAAGTGAAATCTCTCATTGCCTCCATTTCTTCCCCTTCTATTTGCCAGGAGGTGATGCGACCAGTGGCCATGATCTTCGGTTTTTTCTATGTTGAGCTTTCACCCTCATTAAAAGGTTCTTTAATTCCTCCTCACTTTCTGCCATCAAGGTTGTGTCATCTGGATGGCTTTAAAAGAGGATTAGGCAAATTCAGGGAGAAGAGGGCTATCAAAGGCTACTGGTCACAAAAGCTATGCTCTGTCTTCCATATTTGGAGGCAGCAATGCTTCTGAATACCAGTTGCTGGAAACCACAGGAGAGGAGAGGGTTCTTGTGTTTGGATCCTGCTTGCTGCTTTCCCATGGGCTGGCTGCTGGGAGGTCAGGAATGCCGGACTAGACGAACCACTGCCCTGATCAAGCAGGCTCATCTTAACTCGCTCAATTTCTCCCGTTCCCCAAAGCAGTTTCCCTGCCACCCTGCCAAGCCTACCACCCCCCACATCTGCAACAACCAGTCTTACCTCACGGCTGTCCTCTCCAGGAGGAGGTGGGGGGCCACGGGGTCTCGGACCAGGTGGTCCAATGGGCGAGCCCACAGGGGGGTTCCCTAGGAAAAGATTGGCAAATGAACTCCCAACGGGAAAGCAAAGCAGCAACAGCCACCGTCAATGTGCCACCTCCCTACCTGTCAGAAGAATCTGCATACTTTGACATCACTTGAAAAGCTTTCACACCCATTCAGAACCCCAGAGTTAACATTTTGAGCTGTTATGGGGAGGGTTTCATTTTGATTCTCTCAAGATTCCCTGCCTGGCATTTTTAGCAAACAGCTTCAAAGATTTGCTATTCCTTCAGTTCAACAAGTTACTGTGCAAGCAATTTGGGGCCTGCTTTTCACTGAGAGGAGTACAGACTCAGAGGGATAACCCTTGCCAATACACCTCTTTTTAAGGTGAGCATAAATACTTATCTTCATAAATAAGAAAGAAAAAAGAAAAGAAAGAAAGATTCTGGGCTCCCCTCCCATGACACCATATAATATGCTGTTCCTTGAAATACGATTAAGTGGGAATGGATTCCTAGCCAAAGAGTATGTGAATGACACAGAGTGAGTGAGGTCTGACACTCTTCCTCCCTGAATGATTCTGGCAGGACTGCCTGGCGCTGCTTGCCCTCTTTGCATAAATGGGCCAGAGTTCCCTCTCTGATGCAAAGGGACTTACCTCTTGGGAGCCCCTGAGGTCTTGGCCCCAAGTCTGGAGCAGCCCGAGGTACAGAGGGGGCCAGCTTAGACATCTCTTGCTGGCGCTCCTGTTCCATAAGGACAGCAGCCTGAGACGGGAAGAGAAACAACACAGATTCTAACATAGGAAGCTTTTTATAATAAATCACACAATTGATTCATCATGCTTAGGCATGTCTACATTGACTGATGTCTCCAGGATTTCAAACAGAATATAGTTATAAATTAGCCTCTTGCATATGTACCATAAGTATGTATACAAACTCAATGAGAGGTGTGAGTTTGCTTTTGCCATGTTACCTCATTTATATTAGGTCTAATTTGAGTCAAGCAAACTCTCATCTCCTCACCAACACAAAAAAGCCTTTTTCTTTTCTGATCTTTCATAATCTGTTGGAGTTGAAAAATCCCTGTTCACAACTGTGGAAGAATAGCCAATGCTTTTGCTCGCCTTTTGAAAATATATCTATCCATATTCTGCAAATAACTATAAATATTTTGATATTATACTATACACTTAAATGTTTCTTTGATTGTTCCTTAAATCTTCCCACTGCACTTGCCATTCTCTCCTGCCACATCCTTTGAGAACCACTGATCTAAAGGGAGAGGTGAGTAGGAACATTCAGTTCACAGTATAAAACAGGGATGGGACCCTCCAGCTGTTGTAGGACTACAGATCCCAACATCCATGACCACTGACCACAAGGGCTGGTGCTGATGGAAGCTGGAGTCCGACATCTGGAGGACCACAGGCTCCCCATCTCTGGTCTCACTCTTGCGCTCCCTCTCTCACACACACAAACGCACAGGCTACAAACATGTTCTGCAGCACAGCAGAGTTCATGTTGCTGGGAGCTGCTGCATTACGAGACACAAACACAGAGGAACAGAGCAAGCCATTACCTGCTTGACCCTCTCCTCCTGCTGGATCAACATGGCTGCTTGCTGCTGAGCCAGCTTCAGCCGTTCTTCCTCAGGTAACACAGAGGGATCCACCGCCTGCATACGGAGAGGTGGGCCCAGGCCAGGGGGTGGAGGAGGCGGCCCCACCGCCATGGGGAAGTTGAGGCCCATGCCAGGGGGCGGAGGAGGCGGTGGTGGCTGCATTGGCGGCATCCCCATGGGAGGGGGTGGCAGAGGCATCCCGGGATGCTGCAAGACAAGAGAGAAGAAGGCAGCTGTGGGAGACGTTGGAAGCACGCTTGGCTCAGGTTTTTAAGGATTCCTGTGTGACACAACCACCCATGAACAGAATGACAAGAGGAGTTAAAGATCCAGATGTATGGGATGGGGGAGACCTCGCTTGGAAGCAGTATGTATGAAAAGATCTAAATGTCTTTGTGGCTCTCAAGCTGGACCTGAGCCAGGAAGGTGATGCATCTGCTGAAAAAGCAAATACATTTTACGGCTACATGAACTCAAGCATAGCATTGTGGCAGGTTCCACGCTATTCTGCATTGGTCAGGCTGCATCAAGAGCAGGTGGGGGGAACCCTCTGGCCCTCCAGATGTTCCTAAACTACAACTCTTATCATCCCTGACCATTGGTGGGGCTGATGGGAGTTGTAGTTCAGCAACATTTGGCAGAAAAAGGGCTCCACATGTATGATCTAGACTAGAGAGTCCTATAGATGTCCATAGTTTTGGATGCAACATTTTAAGAGGTAATCTAACAAACTGGAGTGCAATCAGAAGAGGGTGATCTGAAAGGGGGCATCTGGGATATAGTGTTTTGTGGGAGGAGGATTATTGCTTTGTTTTTGTTTTATTATGCACTTTGTGTTCTCATTTTGTAATTTTAAGTTGTGAATCACCCTGTGATCTTCAGATGAAGGGTAGTATACAAATTTAATAATGATGATGATGATAATAATAATAATAATAATTGGTATGTCAAGTTTTAATTTTGATGTATAATTTCTGATCATATGTTTCAGTTTGACTACAACCAGTATTCAGTTGCCTTATTAAACTTGGGTCTTTCACAGCCCTGCTACCTGACATTTTTAAAACAAACATACCGGAGATGAACCTGAGAGTGAACCCAAGACCTGTTTCATTCAAAGCACATGGGCTGCCTCTGAGCTTATGGCCTCTCTTGAAGCCACTGAAGTCTCATAACAGCGGCCAAAGAGGTTTCCTGGATATATCACTCACCTGGCCTGGCATGGGGGGCAAACCCGGCTTATCTCCATCATCTCCTCGCAGAACTGGCCTGTTGAGCACTATCCCAGTCTGTAAAGAAGGAGATGGAACAGTAGTTGAGGCAACCATCAACATCATCGTAAAATTTATTGCCTGCCCCTCGCCACAAGGTCCCAGGGCATGTTACAAAGGACACCCATCTGCACTGTGAGAGAAAGAAGAGGGCATGGGAAGCAGGCATAGACAACAACAGGGCCTTCTTCAGTCTGACTGCCCTCCCCATCCCCTGGCCAACTTTAAATGTTTGGGGGATGTTGGAGAGAGGGTACAAGCCAATCCTTCAGGCAGCTTAATGCATTCTTAGCCTCAAGTGTTCTGGATGGTCACATTTGTAGCCACAAAGAATACGGTCTCACCTGAAGTGTGTAAGTCTGCAAGCGTTCTACCAGCTCCTCGCGGCCACCTGGAATGACAGAGAGACGTTGAGGGCATTCTGGGGTTACTCTATGTCACATGGGGTAAGAAGACAGGATTGGAGTTTAGGGCCAACAGTCCTGCACCAACTCTCCTCAAGCTCATCTCTGACCACCACCCCCCACCATTCCCAACATCCTGACCATATTGTACCAACAAAACAACTCCCCCATCATCTTCCATTCATCTTCAATAGGGAAAATCCCCAGACTCTCACACGTACCCTTCTTTCTGCAGGTCAAGAGCAGGGAGTTGACATTATTAATTATAGTGTTTGTTAAGTTAACTGCTCAAGGCCAAATATATTATGTCAATACAGGCAGCAGCCATTTTGCATGGAAGTTTCATTCCTGGCCCCTGTGCGCATAAGCCCATCCTGCCACCTTCTGGAACCCAAAAGACCCACACATTGGTGGTCACACATCAACTGGATGCCACCTGTAATTATTATATAAAGACCGGCAAGTTCATTGCAGGGGGTTGGACCAGATGACCCTTGAGGTCCCTTCCAACTCTACAATTCTGTGATTCTATAAGTTCAGCCAGCATCAACATGATATGACAGCTGTGGTAGTAGTTTACCTAGAGACACCTAGTGAGTTTGAGAGAACAAACACATAGCTCAGTTTAGAGTATTTGCTTTGCATGAAAAAGGTTGCTGGTTCAATCCCTAAAAAAGCATCCCAGGCATCCATTTCAATAGACAACACTGGGCAACATGGACCATAAACCATTATACAGGAAGCTCCTGCAGCCAATTGGAAGCCACGGAAGACCCATTGGACATTCCGCTTCCAAAAATAGTTCGCAAACCGGAACATTCACTTTTGAGTTTGCGGCATTCAGGAGCCAAAATGTTCGAGAACTAAGCTGTTCAAATACCAAGGTACAACTGCACACAGAGATGAAGCCTGAATACAACCTCTTTGCTGGTACTTGGCAAATACACTGTTCTCTTCACCTGCAGCCCCTGGAAAGCTGGATTTTGGTGTGGAGGGCCCAAGTCAACACTATTTCACATATGCCACAAATGTAAAAACTACAACCTGAACCTCCCTCCTCTAACTACCCCACAAAACAGGGTTGAGGAACTCAGAACCATGGGCCAAATGTGACCCTCTAGGCCTCTCTATCTGGCCCTTGTGATTCTCCCTAGGTCACTACCACTCTCCTTGGCCCTGCTCTAACCCTTCCTCCAGTTATTCTGCCTGGTTAAACTATGTTATTGAATGTCTCAATTGCCTGGAGTGAAGTACATATAGTGTAGTGGTTCAAGTGTAGGACTAGGGTCTGGGAAACCAAGCTTCAATTCACCATTCACCCTCCAAAGACACCCAACTTCCTGCTGTTCTCTGGCCCCAAGGATTCACTGCCAGCTTCATAACCCCTCCCAATTTCCCCAACCTCATCCACTAAAATCCCTTATTTTTCTCCCTCTCTCCAACATTCCCCCTCTCTTCCTGTTCTGATACATTTCTGCTCCCCTGCAATAATAATTCACTGATCTTGGAAGCCATATTAACCAGCTCTAAAGTCTCTAATCCCACTATGGATACATTAAAGGAATTTTCAGAACAGGTAAACATCATCACACCAATTTAATTTGGAAATAACAACTCAGGCCTCACCTACATTACTGAACCCATAAAAAGTGTGTCCCCCCCCCCTTTAAAAGTGCAGTCCATGAATTCTTACTCAGAGGAACATACAAAAATGAACCACAACTCCATAGCAGAGCCCATGCTTTAAATGCAAAAATCTGACACTCAGCTCTACTTCCCCACTGTCACCAAAGCTCCTAAGAGCCCTTTCGCATCCTCCTCCCATTACTCCCTTCTTCCTAGAGTGTAGCTCAACACTTCGCATGCACAAGACTCCAGGTTCAAATCCCCGGTGGCAAATGGTCAGAGCAGTTCAATACTGGGCCAACTGCGTGAACCAGCCACAGCCTCTCAGCCTAACCTTATAACAGGGATGTTATAAGGATGAAATTGGGGGGGGGGGAGAACCATGTACGCCGCCTTGAGCTCCTTGGGGGGGGGGGGAAAGATGGGGTATAAATAAATGTGACAAAGCTGAAATTAATATAAGGCCAACTGCCCCGTTCACCCGCCCACTGCACCTTCCCCGCTCTCCTCCTGCTGCTTCCACACTACGAGGGTCCTTCCAGATCACGGCAAAGGCCTGCAGGATCCTGTTCCCCCCACCGGCAGGCTGTAAGCGCCCCCCCGCCCCGCCACAAGCAGGGCCTGCTCACCCTGCGTGGGAGCCCCGATCTCGGCCAGCTTGGCCTGCAGCTCGTTGGGGGACCAGGCCGCGTATCCTGGCAACGGCATCTCCCCTGCCTTGGGGGGCTCCGAATGCACCTCGGACGCCATCTTGCCTTTTCCCCGCCGCGCTCACGCGAACTCCGACAAGCGCACACAACGCAGAGCTCCCAGCTGAGACCGCGCGGCCACCATACGCGCTACGGTGGCGGCGCCTCCCGCCCAATCAGCGGCAGCTACGACAGAACGGCGCGGGCCCAATGAGGAAGCTTTGCGAGGGCGCAAGCCGCGGCGAGTATAGAGAAGCGGCCAATCACAGGACGGGGATGCCGCGTTCTATTCAGGAGCGGGAGGGTTAAGTCGCGTTGGGTTATGGGCTATGTAGTTTAGCTAAGCTTCGATGTCTCTAGTTGCGGCCTTTTTTATGTGTGTATGTTTCTGGCGCACTCAAAGCACAGCCTTTGATAATTTGAACGTTTAGTACCCTCTGCTTGCTCACTGGCCATATTTATTAAGTATCACACAGAGATTTCTGTCTTTTGTCCAAGGGTCTCAAGGCTGTAGTACACAACACACTGTTTTGAACGCATGACAGTATCCAAATGAAAGTGAGTTTGCACACTCTAAACACATTTCTCCAGCACTGTGGGAAGCACAAGTTAAATACAAGCTTCATCTTCACAGGGAACAATCAACATGTAAAAATAATAATAGGAGGCAATGTCTCTTTGGAACACCAAGAGATCACAATGAAAGTTAGCTGCAGGGGTGCAGTCACTGATGAACGTTTGTCGGTTGGTCTGTTTGTCGATTTGTTGTTAAATTTGTGTCCCACCTTTTCCGTCAAGTGGTGCTCAAGGAAGCTGACAGTGAAATCAAGTAAAATACAAAATAAGAAAAACAAGCAGGTTAAGCAAATCAAAAAGCACAAAGTGGTGGCCAAACTGCAGCATGCACAATGGACTTAACAGCCAGCTTGTGAAGCTAAAGACCTGTCTGAATAAAAATGTTTTTGTCCATTGGTGAAAATTCATCATTTCACACCCACACCATACATTCAGAACATCCACAGCCCTCCAATAATCCTGTGAACTGTAATATGTTAAGGGTGCTGAGAACTATAATTCTGTGAGAGGTAAACTTCACTTCCCATTACCCTCCCTTTTATGGGGAAAAGGCACGACTGTTAAAGTGGAACAAAATATGATTTAAATATATGGTGTGAGTCTAACCTTAAAATATGCCTTCCTGGCTAAGGAGTCCCAGAGCTTGAGGAGCTTCCTACACTCCTCTGAGGGGCAAAGTCAAGCATTCAAAACAGATTCTGCAACTTATTTATGTCAAACCCAGCAAATATAGTTGTGCTCAACAGAGAGATGAAAAGTCATTTAATAAACATAACACAATGTATAAAACAAGTGAGAAATCAATAAAACGTCAAGCTATGTTGACCCTTTAACTGAAGCCTCCAGGAGCAGGTGAAGTCTAGTTTGGGAACACCATGAAACATCTTCATTTGGAAAGGTAATCATGTTCAGCTGTCTGTAAATGGAGGTTAAAAAAAGGAGTCAGATCCTATGATTATTTATTACACTTTATCCCACTCATTCCAGCATGGTATAGTGGTTAGGGTGTAGGATTAAGGTTTGAGAAACCAGGATTAAAATCCTCACTCAAGGCACTTGCTCAAAATTCATAATGTGCCCACTGGTGCAAAAAAGTTTGGCAACTTTTGGTCTATGCTCTCAGTGCAAAGGTGGGAAGTTGTTGCCCTTCAGATGTTGTTAGACTAACTCCCATAATTCCCAGTTCATTGGCCATGCTGGCTGGGGCTGATGGGAGCTGGAGTCCCGTAACATCTGGAGGGCCCACACATATCTCCCGTCCCTGCCTTAGGAAATGGATATATTTCATTCTCTCCAGCTCCACTGAAGAGTACAAAGAGGTTAAGCTTGATTTCATTGAGCTCCTTTGAGGAAAGAAAGAGCATCTCTTCATTGGAGGCAAGCCTGAGAAAAAGAAATTAAATTCAGTGGACTCTCCTACCCAGTGCTTTTTGTCCTGGCGGCATGTGCTGGTACGCAGTACTGTCACCTTCTTCGTTTTTCAAATCAGAGCCTCACACCTCCTTCCTGAAGCCTGGAAACCTGCTGCCCGGCTTAGGGAGGGAGGGAGGATACTCTGGCAGGGCCCAAGAGCCCTCTATTGCATGCTGAATACAGGCACCGTTTTTTCTAGGGGGGAAAAAGCACTGTTCCTACCTCAAAGAAAGTGTCTAAGATCTTGTCAGTGGTGGATGCCTGAGACTGGAACTGCTGTTGGTTTGTCTCAATTGCTGTCATTAGTCGAAAGTAGAAGTAGAGATATTCCCACTCTCTAGACAAAGAAGGAAAAATCATTGGGGGTACCAAACAGCTTGGGACATAAGTACTGATAAGAGCAGTGTTTCCCAACCTTTTTTGGGCAAAGGCACACTTGTTTCATGAAAAAAATCTCGAGGCACACCACCATTACAGCCCCGTGACGTCAACATTTCACCCAGTCATTTCATAACTGAAAGATACCGTTCCTGGCAACATTGTAATTATTAGCTGGAACTGTTTTTAAATGTTGTTTAGATATTCTTGGGACGCGGGTGGCGCTGTGGGTTAAACCACAGAGCCTAGGACTTGCTGATCAGAAGGTCGGCGGTTCGAATCCCCGCGACGGGGTGAGCTCCCGTTGCTCGGTCCCTGCCCCTGCCAACCTAGCAGTTTGAAAGCACATCAAAGTGCAAGTAGATAAATAGGTACCACTCCAGCGGGAAGGTAAACGGTGTTTCCATGCACTGCTCTGGTTAGCCAGAAGCGGCTTAGTCATGCTGGCCGCATGACCCGGAAGCTGTCTGCAGACAAACGCCGGCTCCCTCGGCCTATAGAGCGAGATGAGCGCCGCAACCCCAGAGTCGGTCACGACTGGACTTAATGGTCAGGGGTCCCTTTACCTTTACCTTAGATATTCTTAACATTTTTATTCTAATGTTTATTCTACTGCTAAATTATTTTTTCCCGCCGCTTTTGGTTGTCTGAGGGGAAGGTCTTCCTTATTACTACAGTGGTACCTCTAGTAACAAACTTAATTCGTTCCAGAGGTCTGTTCTTAACCTGAAACTGTTCTTAACTAGAGACGTGCTTTTGCTAATGGGGCCTCTCACTGCTGCTGCGCCGCCGGCACACAATTTCCGTTCTCATCCTGGGGCAAAGTTCTCAACTCGAGGTAACTCTTCCAGGTTAGCGGAGTTTGTAACCTGAAGCGTTTGTAACTTGAGGGGGTTGTAACTGAAGGTACCACTGTACTCATATTTGTAAGCCTCTGTGGAACTCCGTTTTATTCTCTTCCGCTGAAGAGCAAGCTAAAAAAATGTTGCAAGTAGATACATTTTCATCTATTGGCTGCTGCGCCTCCTCACCTGTCCATCAACTCAAGGCTGCCATATTTTCCCATGACTGTCCGTCTGAATAATTCCTCCTCCTTTTCCTCTTTTGCTTGGGGCTTATCTGCTGTAGGGCAAAAGAAGACTTGCCAGCATGCATAGCTTGGCTTCAATGTTAAGAATCACCTCCCTCCCTCTGAACTTGAGGTTGTAATCAGTGTTCATCCTACTCAGAGTATATCCATTGAATTGAATGGACATAACTAACTTAGGCTCATTCATTTCGGGTTCAGTTGATGAGTGGGGCACACAAAGAAGCCAGCATTTTGCAAGCACTGGCTGCTTGAAGGAGAAATCTCTTTTGCAGATGATGCCTTCAAAAAAAAAGACCAGCTGCTTGCTTTGGCTATGCATGCCTGCTCACTCAGCCAAACTGAGCCAAACCCCGCCCCGGTTCACCAGCACAGCAAGGGCAGCTAATGTGATGTCAGCTGATTGGCAAACAGGCATGGTTTGTGGGTGGGGAATGGCCTTGTGGGTCAAACTGGACCACACTCAAGGAGCAGGTGTGGCCTGGAGGGAAAGTCCGAGGGGCTGATAGAAATATTTGGAGGGCAACATTCAGGCCTAAGGTTCGTCACCCCACATTAAAGGTTCTAAGCTTGAGCCCAGTCTCAAAGCCTGCTGCCCATCTCCCCAAACACTCTTGTCACCTGCTGCTTTGCCAAAAACATCATCTGCGATACTGCTCTCCTTCAGTTCGACCCACTTCTGTCAATTGGAGAAAGAAATACAACTCAGTGACTGGCACGCTCATCCTGGCAGCCCCAGCCCCAGCTATTCCCTGTCAACCCCCAGTCTGCATGGGCATAGCCAGGGGGGAGGGGCGGCAGCTGCCCCCTCCCAAATCAAGTAAATAAATATTTTACTAAAAGTATATATTGTAGAAAGGACGCGGGTGGCGCTGTGGGTTAAACCACAGAGCCTAGGACTTGACGATCAGAAGGCCGGTGGTTCGAATCCCCGCAACGGGGTGAGCTCCCGTTGCTCCGTCCCAGCTCCTGCCAACCTAGCAGTTTGAAAGCACGCCATGTGCAAATAGATAAATAGGTACCGCTCTGGCGGGAAGGTAAACGGTGTTTCCACGTGCTGCTCTGGTTCACCAGAAGCAGCTTAGTCATGCTGGCCACATGATCCGGAAGCTGTCTGCAGACAAACGCCGGCTCCCTCGGCCTATAGAGCGAGATGAGCACGCAACCCCAGAGTCGGTCACGACTGGACCTAATGGTCAGGGTTCCCTTTACCTTTACCTTTTATATATTGTAGAAAGATTTTGACAATTTTTTCTGATCACTTGAGACCAAAAGAAAGTTTAAAACTGTTGAGACATTTCATTCCGAATCTACTAGGCAGTACCAGACAGAGGATGATGACAGGTGGGTGTCCAGCCCCACCCATCATGAATCCTGGGTACACCAATGGGAGCTGTGCTGACCTTTTGCCTCTTGAGCTCTTGACGCTTCACCAAAGCCATCTGAAAGTTGTCGACCAGGACCGCAATCACCAGGCTGCAAGAGAAAGGGAGAGAGGGCAGCAACGGGGCTGTGACTGTTCTATATTCCACAATTTACCAATTGCTTCCTCAAAGAGAAATAGAAATGTACATAAAACCACCACTTTCATAAAAGTTAAAACAATCCCATATACAAAACCAATTAAAAATACATTGCATATACAGTGGTGCCCCGCAAGACGAATGCCTCGCAAGACGAAAAACTCGCTAGACGAAAGGGTTTTCCGTTTTTTGAGTTGTTCCGCAAGACGAATTTCCCTATGGGCTTGCTTCGCAAGATGAAATGTCTTGCGAGTTCTTACGAGCTTGTTTCCTTTTTCTTAAAGCCGCTAAGCCGTTAATAGCCACTAAGCCGTCTTGCGAGGCACCACTGTATAGGAACAATTTCAAATCCAATACAGAGCCCAACTGCTTCACAAGGCTTTAACAGCAATCGTTGTTATTCAGAGCCGGCCCACCCATGAGACTGGGTGAGGCAGTTGCCTCAGGCGGCAGTTGGGACATGGAGCAGATCCAGTGCACCGCTTGCCTCCTCCTCTTCTGCAGTCCTCGTGCTGCCACCGCCACCGCCACTGCCTCCTCTTCCTCTACTGCCACCTGCTCCTCTCTGGCCTCCTTTTACTCCTCCACTGCCTTCAGGGCACCAGGACTTCCCTGGGCGGGCTGCTTCCAGTCGCCTCAGGCGGTAGAGGAGGCAGTGGCAGGGTAGCAACATTTTCTGCTGTGCCTCAAGCAGCAAAAATGTCCTGGGCTGGCCCTGTAGTTATTTAGTCTTTTCTTGGTTGTCTCGGGGTTTTAAGAAGAAGAAGAAGAGTTTGGATTTGATATCCCGCTTTATCACTACCCTAAGGAGTCTCAAAGCGGCTAACAATCTCCCTTCCTCCCCCACAACAAACACTCTGTGAGGTGAGTGGGGCTGAGAGACTTCAGAGAAGTGTGACTGGCCCAAGGTCACCCAGCAGCTGCATGTGGAGGAGCGGGGAAGCGAACCCGGTTCACCAGATTACGAGTCCACCGCTCTTAACCACTACACCCCACTGGCTCTCTTTAAGAGCACTTATCGCTGCATTTAGTTTATCTAAAACTTTTTACCTTCGGTTTAAGCTTTTACCTTGCTGTGCTTTTTGGAATCCACCCCACATCCGTTCTGGTGTGATCAGCCAGAGTTCAATGTATTTAGTAAACAGTTAATCCCGTTAAGAGTGTCTGGCTAAGACCAAAGAATCCCAAGTTCAAATGTGCTCAGTTGTGAAGCTCGCCAGGAGTATGGCAGATTTCCCCGCCCAGTTTGGTAAACTTATCAACCCAATGGTCTCATAGCAGGTGTCAGGAGGACAGCTCAGGCACCCAAATCCCATCCCCCTGAAACCAGACGCAAGGTCGTATCCAAGCAGATCCTCCTCCACTGTCACAGGAAGAACTAAATATACCACAGCAGGGGCACCAGGTCCTGGGGGCGTGTTCTTTTGGTGCTCCCCCCAATATTTTGGGGGGACAGGCCTCTCCCAGTGTCCAAGAATTGAAGAGGCGAAGCACAGAGCAGAGAGTGGTGAGGCTACAATGGCTCATATACACAGAATTGCCCTCTCGCAAGCTGACATCTCTGTGCCAGAAAGAACCTCAGGCCGGTCCTTCCATATATATATATATATATATATATATGCCTAACAGGGATATTGTGAGGATAAAATTCCAGGGTGGTGGTGGTGTGGGCGGACAGTGAACAATGTATACTACCTTGAGCACCTTGAAGGAAAAGCATAATATAATAAATGTAATAAATCAACAAACCGTCCCTTGACCTCCCATCCAAGGTCCTCTCCAGTAAGTCAAAAGCCTGAGGAGCCTATACTAACTTGAGAAGCAAGAAGTACTCCACAAGGATGTAGATGATCAGGAAGATGATGATGTACCAGGCACCTGGAAAGAAATACACATGGGGCCTGTGGGTGATAATGCTGCCTAGGGGTGGGCTTTTCAGGAAATCTCCATGTTTAACATATTAGCATGGATCCTCCCCCCCCCCCAATTATTGTCTTGCTCTTCAATCTTGACACGAGGTTGGGTGGGTTGGGGTTTTTTTAACCGATTGTGCTAAGTTCTATGTACCCCCCTGACAAGCATCCTCTTCCCTCACCTGCTTCTTGACAGGTAAGGTAGATGAGGGACCAGTCATCCAAAGTGAAGAGCTGGAAAAGTGTGAAGATGCTGTTGAAGAGGTCTCCAAAGTGTTTTTCGTCAGCTTCATGGAACATGTCACGCAGCACCACGGAAGACATGACTGACGGGTGGAAGGCGGGGCTAAGGAACGAAACAAGGAGCCTTGGAAATGCAGGATCGCGGGATTTGTAATTAACCTGTGGAATTCACTCGTCATAGGATGACATGACAGAAATCAGTGACAGTAAAATTTTGGGGAGCGGAAGAAGGCAGGTCTCAGTGTTGCCCTTGTTAGAGCTCAGCAGGGAGGAGGAGGAGGAGGATGGGGACAAAACTAGAATTAATGGCCTCTGTCTCTCATTGGCTCTGGCGCCACCTACTGCTGGCCTCCCTGCCTTCTGCCCTACCAGTCCCAATGGGCACCAGGTACACCTGGATTCTTCCCTCTCCATTCTGCTCTTTCCTGGGAGGATACAGAGGAAAGAGAACATGAGGAGAATAATGGCTCCGATGGACTCGCAGGAAAGCAAAAAGGTGCTTGTGACTTCCTTGAGGTTCTGCATCACTCTACGTGGAAAAGCAAATAAAGAAACAGAGAGTTAGGTAGGGTTGTAAGGTCAGTCGCTGTCAACCCTTCTGTCCCGCACCCCACCTTCTAAAACCTAGGAAGTTGCTATGGATTCCTCCAGATGACCCATTTATTGAGCAAATTACAGTTCCAAATATTCTTTGTGCACAGTGAGAGAAGAATGCTTTCAAGGTACAGGACAGGAGGATCCTGGTATGTGCTGGAAGCCCCCTTGCAAAATATTGACTATCTGGAGGCGCTAGGAGCTCTTCCATTCCCCTTCCCTCCCCCAGCTAGAAATTTTGGCGCTAACCGGAGGGTGAGCAGGAAGCGGATGGCGCGGATAGCACGGACAGCCTTGCAGATTTTGAGGACCCGGAAGAGCGTGAGTTTGTTGCCGCGGTTGCCTTGTCTGGAGGAGATGAGCAAGGGGAGCAGAAAATCCAGCACCGTCATGCACATAATGAAGAAATCTGGCAAAGGGAAGAAGAGGAAACATAGAAATTAAGGCAGACCCACATGAAATGGTGCTTCAGACTTGTCAGCTGAGCAACATTAAGCTTATACAACTAGTGTAACATTATGGGCATTCCAGAGAAAACAGCAACACTTAGTTTAGTACAGTACTTTGCTTAGTACAGTGGTATCTCGGGTTACATACGCTTCAGGTTACAGACTCCGCTAACCCAGAAATAGTACCTTGGGTTAAGAACTTTGCTTCAGGATGAGAACAGAAATTGTGCTCCGGTGGCGCGGCAGCAGCGGGAGGCCCCATTAGCTTAAGTGGTACTTCAGGTTAAGAACTGTTTCAGGATAAGAACAGACCTCCGGAACGAATTAAGTACTTAACCTGAGGTACCACTGTACCAACCTTCTCATTATTTGAGAAGGGTCCGCTGTTAGTTCTGCACATGTTGCTATTCTCAGGCAGTCTGCTAATTAAATAATTTGCCCTGGAATCCCTTGGTATCAGCCAGGGCTTTTTCTCTCAGCTTGAACTTGCCGAAACTCAGTTCCGGAACCTCTCCAGTGAGTGCCATTGCCATGATAAGAGAACAAGGGAGGCGTCCATGGTGGGTTCCAGCACCTCTTTTTCTAGAAACATAGAACTGGCATCAGCACCTGTTCATACCCCCTCGACCACACTGCAGAAAGACCCACCAATGTCATTCCATGGGTCACGGAAATATTCACAGCCCAACGCAATGAGCTTGAGGACGGCCTCTAACACGTAGACAGAAAGGAAGGCGGGATCCATGGCAGAAAAGAACCATTCTGGCAAGAGAGGAGAGAAAGAGAGAACCATTGATTGTGGGAAAGCCACTCTCCTCCATGATGAAAGCTGTTGCGATCTGTGGAGATGCCCACCACTGAAGAAGGTGAATTGCCTAAGTGGGGAGTGGGGGCAGTAGTCCCTGGTTGAATCTACACAGGAGATAAAGGTGTGGGTACAGGACCACAGATAATGCCCCTAAAGCAGTGGTTCTCAACCTGTAGGTCCCCAGATGTTGTTGGACTACAACTCCCATCATCCCTGAGCTCTGGCCTTGCTAGCTAGGGGTGATGGGAGTTGTAGTTCAACAACATCTGGGGACCCACAAGTTGAGAAAGGGTGCCCTAAAGGCAAGGCCAAACTCTGAAGTGGTCTCAGCAAGGTTCTGAAGCAACTGGCTGGTTTCTATTGGGGATAGGTAGTCACTGACTAGTGTTGCTTCCTGAAAGGGTCAGTGCCTTATTCTGCAGATATAAGGCCCTTGGGTCAATATGGCTTCCAGCTGTGGGGATCTCTCCTGAGGGCCAGCCGTCAATCTGGGAGCAGAAGTTCTCCTTGGGGCAGGACTGAAGCCCCTGGCCTTATTGAAACCAGAGCATGCTCTGGTTACTATCCAGCATTCAGAAGAAGTCTACAGAGCAGGATTATTTATGAGGCAAGAAACACCTCTCCTGTGGGCTGACCTCCCCGAATTTCAACCACCGCAAACGTTTGAGCCACCAGCAATACGGTGTTGATGGCAACCACCGAGCAGATTATGAAGTCAAAGATGAAAGACTGAGTCAAGTCGTAGATGATCTTCCTCAGCAAGACGAGGTGCGGGTAGATCTTCTGCCAGGCATGCACCACCATCTCTGTCATCGTCATTCGCCTGTGCTTCCTCTTGCGACGCTGGCGGGCCGGCTTTGCTAGAGAGTTAGAGAGGGAGGAAGAATCGTTTGAGGGTGAGGGCAGAGGAGGCAGCCATTCCCCTCACCCAGTTTCTCAGAACACATGAGGTTGTCCTCTGCAACAAGGGCTTGGATAGCTCAGTTGGATAGAGCGTGGTGCTGACAATGCCAAGGTTGCAGGTTCAATCCTTGTATGCAACAGCGGCACATTCCTGCATTGCAGAGGGTTGGACTAGATGATCCTCAGGGTCCCTTCCAGCTCTACACTTCTATGATTCCAAGGGACGTTGGAGAATCCAGAAGAGAAAGGGAATGGAGGTCAGATTTGCTATGTTTGCTTATTCATCCCTTGCCCAGAACAGAAATTATCCAGTCAGTATTATTGGTATTATTGGTAATGGACTAATGTAATGATGAGAGTGATTTTGTAATTAAATGATGTAAATGTTCACCATAGCTAGCAGCAATGCGGATAATTCAGTTTTTGTCAGAAGCCAAACTGCAGTGTAACAGAATCATAGAAGTGTAGTTGGAAGGGACCACAAGGGTCATCTAGTCCAACCCCCCTGCAATGCAGGAATCTCTCTGCCCAACATGGGAGTTGAACCCACAACCATGAGATCAAGAACAGGGGTAGGCAACCTAAGGCCCATGGGTCACAAGCAGCCCATGAGGGTCGTTTAAACGGCCCATGAGGTGCTCCCGTACCCAGTCGCCTGCTAAACCAGCGCAGCACAGGAACTCGCTTCTGCAGTGCCAGAAATCACATCTGCGCAGACGCCAGAAATCACGCGCACACACAATCTGGCCTACGGAGGGATCTCCACTGGAGTGAACCGGCCCAGGTGAGGTAAACCTTGCCAACCCCTGATCAAGAGTTTCATGCTGTTCCAGCACAACGGCCTTGGTCTGGTATACCTCAAGGAGCGTCTCCACTCCCATCGTTCTGCCCGGACACTGAGGTCCAGCGCCGAGGGCCTTCTGGCGGTTCCCTCCCTGCGAGAAGCCAAGTTGCAGGGAACCAGGCAGAGGGCCTTCTTGGTAGTGGCGCCCGCCCTGTGGAACGCCCTCCCACCAGATGTCAAAGAGAAAAACAACTACCAGACTTTTAGAAGACATCTGAAGGCAGCCCTGTTTAGGGAAGCTTTTAATATCTGAAGGACTATTGTATTTTAATATTTTGTTGGAAGCCGCCCAGAGTGGCTGAGGAAACCCAGCCAGATGGGCGGGGTATAAATAATAAATTATTATTATTATTATACCAACTGAGCTTTCCCGTTGAATGTAACAAATTGTGGGTGGGAAATAAATAAATCCCTTTTTACATACCTCCGTACAGCACCCATGTTGGGGACTAAGTCCCACAGTTCCAAGTACAGTAATCATTCCTGGAATTAGGCTGAGGTCCTCCTCCTGTACATCACTGTACATGTTAAGTACAGTGATTTAATTTACTGAAATTGGGAATGCTTAAATGTATGAATGTGTGTTTAATTCTGGAATGTTTCCCAGTAACTCTCATGTGATTGGTTAATTCTGTTCACATGGGAGACATCTTATTACATTCTCCATTTTGTTTTGTGTGTGTGACTGACTTGACTGTAATGGCTGCATCTCCGTGAACACTGAAGAAAAGAGAGAACTATCTAAATGCAACACACCCTCCAACATTTCTCTGATGAAAATCGGGACATCCTATTATTATTATACCCCACCCGCCTGCCTGGGTTGCCCCTACCACTCTAGGCGGCTTCCAACATATATAAAAACATAATAAAACATTGAACATTTAAAAACTTCCCTATGCAGGGCTGCCTTCAGAAGTCTTCTAAAGGTTGCGTAGTTATTTACCTCCTTGGCTTGGGAGGTTGCATAACTCCATACCCTCCAACATTTCTCCAGTGAAAATAGGGACGTCCCAAGGAAATGAGGACATTCCAGGATCAAATTTGAAACCGGGATGGCTTCTGTAAATCCAGGGCTGTCCCTGGAAAATAGGGACACTTGGAGGGTCTGATATGCAATAGAGGAGAAGAGTGCTAATGTTTCTCTCTGAATGTATGTGTCAAAAAGAAGTACAGAATCTGATGTTCTCCCAAAGAAGCAGTAAGGAGAAGTCGGCTGGAAAGAGAAAGTGGAAACCTCTTGGAAGGAGCTGCATGGGTTAGCTGGGTAATGTACAGAAGGAGGCTGAGTGCAAGGACTGGAAAGACAGAAAGACAGAGTTAGTTTGAATGCTTACGGAAGAATCTTCAACTACCATATTTACTCGAATCTAATGTTCACTTTTTTGGCCAAATTATGTTGCGAATACTAAGGTGCGCGTTAGATTCAATGGCACATTTACATTCACCAATAGATAGATAGATAGATAGATAGATAGATAGATAGACAGACAGACAGATATAACCATCCATCCATCCATCCATCCATCCACATTTGTTTTCAAGGTTCTGAAAACTGAGGTGCACATTAGATTTGATGGCGCGTTAGACTCGAATAAATATGGTAAGGGGACAAAACAAGTCCCATGCTTGGATAAGTATGTGAATGTAAATATATTCTTCTTTAGCTACGTGTTCTGCAAGTGAAAGCTTTGAATATTTTAAACCTTGTTTTAATTTCAATAAAAGAGTCAGTCTTGCACATGATTTGGCTTCCTAGCGGCAATTTAGCTACTCTGCCAACAGACCAATCTCCATGTAAACTTCCCTTCCAACCATCCTGCCAGGGATTTTGGGAGCTAAGGATCTGCAGCTCTGACTAGAAAAGGCTCCCCGCTCCTGACAGAGACAGCCCTGAGCTCGATGGCCAGGGGTCCGGTTCAGTATAAAGCACATGGCCATCTAAAAATGGTCCGGGGGGTGGGAAGTTCTGCTGCACCTATGTAAAGTCAAATTGTACCCCTGGAATCGCCCCCTCACTTTTGACTCTTATCCCTCCAGGTGCATTCTTGGAACTTCTCCTCGACCTGCTGCTCTGATTGCTGAATCTTCTCCGGTATTGTCTAGACCCTCTCAAGGAGGGTGACATGGAGGTGACGGCCAGGACCATGGAAGGCTCTGGGTGGGCTGAGGGTGAATACCCAGGCCCAAGGCTGGAAGTCCCAGGCATTCCTGTGCCTGCACCCTGGGCTTGGCCCTGCTCCTGGGTCGGGACCTGCAGCATTTTCTCCATCTGAGGTACAGAGGACATGGCAGGCACGGTGAGGTACCGGTGATCCATGGTGGCGAACTGAAGGAGCCCTCGTGGCTCAGACGCGCCTGCCTAGAAATGTCCTCCCAGTCGGCTTCTCCAGTCTGGGCTGTGGCGAACCTGGAACACGGAAGGCCCCAGGCTTCCGAATGGGGAGCATTGGCAGCTCTTTGTGATGCCATTGTGAGGCAAGGCAAAGCATGCCAAGGCAGTCAGAGGCGGTGGTGTTAGCAGACAGTCTATGGAGCCTAAGGCCCAGGCCGCAGATCCCCTGCCCCTCTCCACATTTTATTTTTACCTTTTTTTCCAACTGACCTTTTCTACGTCCGGACAGATACCATGTAAGAAACCAGAACCAATAACAGAAAAGCAAACCAATCCCTCTGCAAAAAGTGTTTGATTTTCTTCTAGAAACTGGTTGGCAACACAGTACTGTACTCATAATCCTCCAACATGCTGGAGACCCAGATCGGGGCGCTCCTTTTTTTTTGGTCCCGAATTCTCACACGTGCGTGTGAACACAAGACCAAAAGACGCTTGTTTTTTTGTTTTGTGAAAACGGGAGCTTCAAAGCAGAGGTGCCGGCAACTCCTAGGGGCGCAGGTCCCTTTGTGCCCCCCACCCACCTAATAAAAGCCACGTTTGGACTTCATTTTGCAAGGGATTTGTAACAGGGTTGCTGGAGGGCAAGAGAGCTGGGATTGGGCACAAACCTTCAACGTTGTTTCTTACAGCCCTTGAGACTGGAGTAAGTCCTAGAGCTCTGCTAGGACAAGAGAGGAAGCGGCTCCTGGCTACTTATCATATTTTAGAATTAAACCAGGAGTGCTTAATTCAGATGACTTGGAGGGTAAAGCTCCCCACCTATGATTATTGTTGTTGTCGTTGTCAGTGTTTGATTTTTTTTTAGGGAAGGAAAGCTGTCGGTACACACAATAAAGTTGTTAAAGTAAGTACAACACTTTTAACATTTTGGGGTGGGGTGGGGGGGAAGGTGCCAGTACTGTGTACTCTTGAGTACCCTCAGAAAAAAAGAAATGGATGTTGTTGTTGTTAATCCACCCTTTACCACAAGGTACCAGGGCAGGTTATAATTAAAACACAATATTGAAAAGCAATTTAAAGCAGCTTAGGTTGATCTCTTCTGTGAACTGCCCTGAGACCTCCGGGTATAGGGTGGTATATAAATAATAATAATAATAATAATAATAATAATAATAATAATAATGTCACAGAAATAAGGCAGGTCCTAAAAATATGCTCAAGCAGGCAAATGCATAATTTTGCAGCCAGCCGCTGTTGCTTTGGTGTGAGCAGGAAGGCACCCAGATGCCTACAAACTTGGGCTTGGGGAGAGTTGGGTTCAAGTCCCTTTTTAGCTTTAAGAATTCAGAGTAGCCCTGGACCAGTCGCAGTTTCTGAGACCAGTCAACCTCACAGAGCTGTTTTGGGGATAAAAAGTGGGGTGATGGGTGGGGGAATAACCCTTCATCAGCACTAGGTACCTCTATTGCTAAGATTGGGCGCAGGTTTTATCTGCCCCCAAATATGTTATTCAAGTTGGCACCACTGCTTCAAAGCGTGGCATTGCCTGACATCATAGGGATGCCAGGGGACTGACAGGTGGCTCCTCCAGCTGGCCTGCCAGGGTTGGGGGAGCTAAGGATTTGGGGCCCTGACTAGAAAAGGCTCCCCACTCCTGATGCAGACAGCCCTGGGCTCCCTGTCCAGTGGTCCAATTCAGTATAAAGCAGATCCTAGAAAAAGCAGCAATGCTGGCTCCCCCCATTTTGAAGGAAGTTAAGGAATAATACACTTGGCTGTCAAAAAATGGGTCAGGTGGGGAGGCCTGCCACACTAACATTAAGTCTAAATGCACCCCTGGAATTGCCCCCTCACTTTTGACTCTCGGTCCTGTGTGTACGGTTTTGGATCCTTGCATTGACCTCCTGCTGGTCCTGCTGCCCCTGCTGAATCTCCTGGGCCCTTTCATGAAGGGCGACATGGAGGTGACGGCCAGGACCGTGGAAGGCTCTGGGCGGGGTGAGGATAAATACCCAGGCCCAAGGCCGGAAGTCCCAGGCATTCCGGCGCCTGCACCCTGGGCTTGCCCCTGCTCCTGGGTCGGGACCTGCAGCATTTTCTCCATCTGAGGCACAGAGGACATGGCAGGCACGGTGAGGTAATTCATGGTGGCGAATTGAAGGAGCCCTCGTGGCTCAGACGCGCCTGCCTAGAAATGTCCTCCCAGTCGGCTTCTCCAGTCTGGGCTGTGGCGAACCTGGAACACGGAAGGCCCCAGGCTTCCGAATGGGGAGCCTTGGCAGCTCTTTGTGATGCCATCGTGAGGCAAGGCAAAGCATGCCAAGGCAGTCAGAGGCGGTGGTGTTAGCAGACAGTCTATGGAGCCTAAGGCCCAGGCCGCAGATCTCCTGCCCCTCTCCACATTTTATTTTTACCTTTTTTCCCCAAACTGACCATGTAGGGAATCATAACCAATAACAGAAAAGCAAACCAATGCCAGTGTGGTGTAGTGGTTAAGAGCAGTGGACTCGTAATCTGGTGAACCGGGTTCGCTTCCCCACTCCTCCACAGGCAGCTGCTGGGTGATCTTGGGCTGGTCACGCTTCTCTGAAGTCTCTCAGCCCCACTCTCCTCACAGAGTGTTTGTTGTGGGGGAGGAAGGGAAAGGAGAATGTTAGCCGCTTTGAGACTCCTTCGGGTAGTGATAAAGCGGGACATCAAATCCAAACTCTACAAGAAGGCAGGGAAAGTTTCAAAAACTGGTTGGCAACACAGTCCTGTACTCATACCCTCCAACATCATGGGGACCAAAATCGGGATGCTCCATTTTTGGTCCCAAGCTCTTGCGCCTGCGTGCAAGCACGAAACTAAATGATGCCCGTTTTGTGATCTCGCAAGACAAAACACAAGCGGCTTTCATTCTGGCACTCTGGCATGAGTGCTCCATCCACTTTTGCCCCTGGCCCTACTCACCACAGGCATGTGGCCCCTGGAATGTTACCTAGAAAAGGATTCCCCACCATTCATCACCACCAAGCACCATTTTCAACTGCCCAGGTCAACCCCCTCATAGAGCAGGCTGAGTCTTTCTCGTCTCCAAAGCTAGTTTTATTTCTAGGTGCCTCGTGACTACAGGTCCAGAAGGTGCAGATCTTGCTGCAAGGTTCCCTCTCTCTTTCTCTTTCTTCTCTGCCTGCCAGGCTTTGCTTTCAGGTCGATTCTGGGAGATCTTCCGGAGATTCTGTCCTCCTACGCCTGAAACACACCACAGGTCTGAGAAGGTCCTGGGCAAGGCATCAGGTGTGCATTGCCAGAAAATAAAAAAAAACCCAAGATGAAAGAGGGTGCTGATGCACATAAAATTTGCATCTGCTAATTTTGGAGGTAACAACTCGCATGCAGAAATAATTTCTGTAGTGTGAACAGAAACACAATACACCTCGCCATAGTGGGGAATAGGACAGTGAGCAGGTGAACTGTGTGCCTGCTCATGAGAACAAAAAAGGCCAGCTGCTGGATCAGGCCAATGGCCCTTCTAACCCAACACTCTGTTCTTGCAATGTCCAACCAGATGCTGACTACAGTGGACCCTCTGGATACGAATTTAATTCATTCCGGGGGTCTGTGAAACCCTGAAAAATCCATATCCAGAGGCGCTGTTTTTGCGCACACACATGGCGCGCAGAGCACTTCTGCGCATGCGCAAGCAGCGAAACCCAGAAAAATACTTCCGGGTTTGCCGCTTTTGCAACCCAAAGTTTATGTTACTCAAGAGTAGTGTAACCCGAGGGTTTACTGTATATACATAGGCCAGAACTGCTGTCCAGGTACTAACGTTTGATGGGCAACCTTTCAAGGCCCCAGCTTTTTCAACCAACCTTGGCTTAAAGCAGGGGTCTGCAACCTGCAGCTCCGGAGCCGCATGTGGCTCTTTTACACCTTTGTCGCGGCTCCGGGGCAGATACTAGCGAGGGGAGGAGGCGCATTGTGCGTCCCGACACTCCCCACTGTGGTGGGCGCTGTACTGGCTGTGAGGTCGCATGGAGGCGGTGCATGTGTTAGTCACGCACCGTTCCAACGTCACCTTCCCGGTTTTGCGGCTCCCAGTTTTTTTTCTTCGGAAACTGGTCCAAGTGGCTCTTTTTGTCTTAAAGGTTGCAGACCCCTGGCTTAAAGCATGGACTGTTTTTAATCCAGACATCAACCGTGCAACTTTTCCAACAGACCGGAGAGAGGGCTGTCCTCTGCAAAGCAGGACACATGGCCTCCTGAAAGAAGGGCTTTCCAGGGACCTCCATGCATGCACACACACCAGTCCACTCCCCATGCCTGCACACCCCTCTCGTCCCACCTAGGCAGTGGCGTAGCGTGGGGTGGGGGGTGGCGACATAGAGGTAGTTGCCCTGGGCACAAAACTGTTAGGGGCGCCAAATGTCAACACCCGGTGCTGCCTCAATATAGCTGCACGCTTCTGACACCCAGCTCCATTGAAAATGTCTACTCCATGTGAACCAGGAAGTAATCTCTCCAGACAACAGAGTGACTCTTCTTATCTCTGCAGCTGCAATCTCCTGGGTGATGCAGATGCCGTTAGGCAGTTGAATGTGCATGTGTAGTACTCCCTCCCTCCCAACCCCACTCTGTGCGGCCCCCAGGCACTGGCAACCCTCGCTACGCCACTGTACCCAGGCCACCCAAATAAGCTTTGCAGGTGGCAGCAGGCAAGGATCCCTTTGCCTTACCCCATGGCATGCGTGCTGCAAAGCAAAAGCTGAGGCGGCAGCCACCCCACTGTCTTCTCTCCATAATCCTCTGGGCCTTTACAGGACACAGGCCCATGTAAAATATGTAAATCAATAGCTGGCAATTGACATTGGCCCCAGTGGGCACACCAGCATTTCATAGAACCATAGAACTGTAGAGTTGGATGGGACCCCAAGGATCTTCTAGTCCAGCCCCCTGCAATGCAGGAGTGGCAGCTAAAGAATCCCTGACAACTGAGCCTCCGTTTAAAAACTTCCGATGGAGGAGAGCCCACCGCCATCCAGGGGAGTCCATTCCACTGTCAAATAGCTCTTCCTATCAGAAAGTTCTTCCAGAGGTTTAGTCGGAATTTCATTTCTTGTAACTTGAAGCCATTGCTTCGAGTTCTGCTCTTTCTTGGTGCCCAGTAAACAACCTGGAGATTAAATGGAGCTCCCGATTCTTTCTTTGCAAGCGGAGTGCACTGACAGTGAGTCCGCCTG